CCAACCTTCCTTCCGAGGAGTGGCTGGTGGGTTTGAACCGCCAGCCTTCTGGTTAGCAGTCAAGTGCCTTAGCCACTATGCTACCAGAACTCCCGAATTCTTTTTTAGTCTTTGGTTTTCAAGAATTTTATTAGAAATAAAATCAGCAGAGTTGATCTTTTTATGTCCCTTCTAATTGGAGTTCATTTAATTTCCTGTACTTGCAGGCTTAATTCTCTGCTTAGATCTGGAAAATTTTCTCTGATTATCTCTTGGAAAATTGTTTCTTGCCCTTTGTCATGGTGCTCTGGGATTCCAATAATCCTAATGTTAAATTTCTTAATTGAATCCTATATTCCCTTTTAGGTTTGTTTACTTTTCTTTATTCTTTTATTTCTCTTGCGACTCGATAAGTTCAGTTATTTTGTCTTCTAGTTCATTTATTCTGTCTTCTGTCTGTTGAACTTTATTTTTGAATCTTCTCTTGCTTTTTCTAATCCAGTTGTTTTATTCTTCAGTTCTAGTAGTTCTTTGTTTTGTTTTGTTTTTAATGTTTTAGATTTTCATGTTGAGTCTCTCGTTTTGTTCCTCTCCCATTTATCACTCACTCTCTACTATAAAATCCACTGCCATCAAGCCATCAAGTGGATTCCGACTCATAGCAACCCCCATTGGGTTTCCAAGGTGATAAATCTTTATGGAAGTAGCTTGTCCCATCTTCCTTCTGTAGAATGGCTGGTGGGTTTGAACCACCAACCTTCTGGTTAGCAGTCAAATGCCTTAGGCACCATGCCACCAGAGCTCCTTACTCTCTACTATATATGGTCTAAAATTCTCCCTTCATATGCCACATTTACTGTTTCGTGTTGGTTGTTTTTATTTATTTATTTATTTATAGTGTGGGTGTGTGTGGGTGGCTTTTCCCAGCTTCTGCTTTTTCTCTCCTCCGCTTCTGAGCTCACTCCAACTCTGCAGCACCTCAGCTGCTGTCTGGACTTGTGTGATTTCAGTCTGTGCTTGTTTTTATTAGTTGTTCCGTTGGTTAGTTGTTGAGGGAGTAAATGGGAGGCTCCAATTCACTTACTTCATCATTTTGTTCTGCCTCCTAAAGTGTTCATTCTTGAAAACAGTATGTGCCCTGGAGTTGGAGCCTCTGTACTCTGCAGAGTGGTGATTGAAGTGGTGATGTCATGCCCTGTGTGCCAGCATCAATGGGGGAATATTTGAGAGTGCAGATTGGGGACCCTCTTATTATCTCTGAAGTCAGGCCACCAAGAGGCTGCCTACACTGAGTGTTGGAAACTTTGTCCAGGGGAAGAAGGAGGAAAGAGAGAGAGCTATTGTCTTAGCTATCTAGTGCTGCTATAACAGAAATACCACAAGTGGATGGCTTTAACAACCAAAAATTTATTTTCTCACAATTTGGGAGGTTGGAAGTCCAGAATCAGAGCACTAACTCTGGAGAAGGCTTTCTCACACTTTTAGCTCTGAAGGAAGGTCCTTGTCTCTTCTGAGCTTCTGTTCTTGGGTGGTTTTCATGTGGCTTAGCATCAGTCTTCTCTCATCTCTGCTTCTAGCTTGCTTGTTCAATCTCTGTTTTATATGTAATAGTAAAGGTTGTGTGTCAGCTTGGCTGGGCCATGATTTTCAGTGGTTTAGCAGTTATGATGTAGTTATCCCCCATGATGAGATCTGATATAATATAATCACCTCTATGATAAGATCATGTAGCATCTTGGACAGGTTGCAATGCTGCTTTCTGCCTCGCTTTCTTCATCTGTAAAATGGAAGCATTACATAGGAGCTCTGGTAGCATAGTGGCTAAAACAGTTAACTGCTAACCAGAAGGCTGGTGGTTCAAACCTACCAGCCACTCCTCGGAAGGAAGGTTGGGCAATCCTACTTCTGTAGTGATACTGCCTCGGAAACCCAAGGAGGGGTCACTATGAGTCGGGGCCGACTCGATGGCACGTAACAACAACAACAACATGATAAGATCTGCTATAACTAGCCAATCAGTTGAAAGGAAATTTCCTCAGGGATGTGGCCTGTTTCTGATGTATATATATGGACATCCTAGCAGAGATCTCTGGCTTTCTGCTAGATCTGGATCCTGCATTTGGCTCATCATCATCTCTGGTTTCTGGACTTGAACCATGTTGCCGTATTGCTTGCTGATCTTGAGACTGTTGCCTTTGCAGTCTGTGAGCCATTTTACCTGCCAATCTTATATCTGTTAGCCTCTGAAGCCAGCAGCCTGCTGTATTGCCTGCCTATCTTGGGTTCATCAACCCCTGAAGCTACATGAGTCAGGAAAAGGCTCCAGCTTGACATATGACCCATGGACTTGGGACTTGCCAGCCTCACGCATAACAACAACAACTGCATGAGCCATGTTCATGAGATAAATCTCTCCCTTTCTCTCTCTCTCTCTCTAGCTTCTCTAGAGAACTCAGTCTAAGACACTATGGCAAAAGAGATTGACTCAAGATACACCCTACACTAATCTTTCCTCATTGACATAACAAAGACAACCTATTCCCAGATGGGATTATAACCACATACATAGTTTAGGATTTACAGCACATATTTTTGGGAGACAAAATTCAATCCATAACAGCTATTACGAAAGCTCTGTCATTTTTTATCAACCTGTAGTGTGCCCCCATGCCAAGGAGGAGGAAAATGAGACACAGCTGCCACATTGCAGGAAGCTGAAACACATCAGACCCCAGTGGACGGCACAGGGCAGGCTGTGATGTGGCCCAGGCAGTCAGCACTGTGCACTGTCAGAGTAGGGACACAGGGAGAGGAGAAGTCAGGAACACCTGAACACGGCCTCCCCACCATGTGACCCTCCCCCATTTTCCTCTTGATGGCGGGACTTGAAGTGAAACCCTCTTCTCCCTCACACACAGAGTCCTGAGCTGGGGTCAGGAGTCATGATCAATCATCTCCATGTCAGATCAGCCTGGAAGCCAGGAAAGAGAAAATAACGAACTGCTGCTATCAGCAGAGATGGTCTAATAAGGACTCAATGGGGCAAAATGAGGTTGTGGAGAGGCAAGGTAGTTAGAGGCAAGACTGCCAGGAAATCACAGCCTGCGGTATGGGTTGGGAGTCCCCTTCTTTTCCTCAGTGTGTTGGAAATTCAGAGAGATCTTCTTGTACTTTCCATCCCCCTACTTCCACCTCTCCAAGTCCAGCAGCTAGATTGGGAACTGGCTGGGACTCTAATTTTTCATAAGAAAGTTCCTCTACAATCTCTCCCTGCCTTCTCCTTTCCCCCCACATTACCTTTTCAGACATCCCAGCAGACACAAGTCTTTAGCCCTTTCCTTGAGAGCCTGGTTGTTGGGCAAAAAACCAACCAAACAAACAAAAAACTCACTGCTGTTGAGTCGATTCATCTCATAGCGACCCCCCTTGGATTTCTGAGGTGGTATCACTATAGAAGTAGATTGCCCAATCTTCCTTCCGAGGAGTGGCTGGTGGTTTTGAACTGCCAGCCTTCTGGTTAGCAGTTAAATGCCTTAGGCACTATGCCACCAGAACTCCCTGCTGTTGGGCAAAGTATCCCAAAAAGACCTTGATAGAGTATTATACCTGTCATTCATTCATCCACTCATGGGAAACTTACCCTCAGCTTGCCAGCTTATAGACTCCTCCACCTCCTCTTCTGTTGTCTGAAGAAAGGCAAAGGTCATCAGGGTCACCACTTGGATACCTCTCAGTGGGAACAGGCACAGGGCCTTTTGGGTGCTTGCCAAGCCCAGAGCCCCAGACCTCTGCCCACTGGAAGGGTCACCAAATTCCCAAATACCTTGGTTATGGGCTTTGGTTCTGCTGGGTCAAGCCTACTGCCTGCTGAAGGGAACTGGCAGTTTCATCATTCCTGTTGGCAGAGGACACACTGTATCCCAGAACCTCTCCTTTGAGCAAGAGGAGATGCTCAGCTCAGGGATTTGGGGATTCAGGTTTCATCCCAGATCCTAGTGTCAGTTTCATGCATATAACACAGTTCCCTTGAGGTGCAAAACAGCCTCCCCTCACAACATCCCTGAGAGGGACAGGAATTATTTTTTAATTTATTTGTTTACAAGTAAAAGAGTAGTACTTACTCCTTGAGAAGTGCCCGTTATGTGAAGCATAGTATCTGAATCCTTACAATACTGAAACAGCCACTTTCATCTTCTACTTATAGATGAAAGACTTAGAGAGGTTAGGCAACTTTCCCCTGATCCATACAAACCAGTTGCTGTGAAGTCACCTCTGTCTCCTGGTGACCCTGGTGTGTCAGAGTAGAACTGTGCTCCACAGGGCTTTCAATGGCTGATTCTTCAGAAGTAGATCACCAGGCCTTTCTCCAGGGTGCCTCTGGGTGGACTTAAACCACCTCCTTTTGGTTAGTGGCAGGTACATTAACTGTTTGCATTATGCAGGAACTCCACCCCTTAAGAAGTAACTTCCCATTTCCCCTCCACAACCAATAGCTAATAAAATTGACCAAACTTCTTCCACTGGTCCCTCTCCCTTCCTGCCAGAGGGTAGGGGAGATGTCTTAGATTCTCTGAGGCTATCCAATAAATGGAGAAGAAAGCAGAGGTTTTTCATTCAAAGGGCTTCAGGGCCTCCCGCCACTGACTCTGTGCCTCCCCTGCTCCAGGCTGGCCCAGTCACTATGGGCCCTCTTCACCTCTTCTCTGGCCATCTCGCTGGTGTTTGTCATCATTCCCTTCTGCCTCAATGTGAAGGTGTTGGCTTTGGTCATGGCGCTGGCGGGCCTGGCCATGGGCTGCATCGACACTGTGGCCAACATGCAGCTGGTGAGGATCTACCAGAAGGACTCGGCCGTCTTCCTCCAGGTGAGTCCAGCCAACAGCACTGGGGAGGGGGCCCTAGCTCTGCTTTACTCTCTTTTGTTTGTATCCTAACTCTTGACCCTTTCCCCAAACCTAGATATCCCTTTGTCTGGGCTACAGCACAGAAAGAGCACCAGGGGCTCAGCCCAGTATATGCACTTCCCAGTTGTGCCACACTGGGCAGCCACTCGGTATCTCTGGACTTAGATTTCCTCATCTCTGAAACTGGGCAGTAGTCCCTGCCTGCCTTAGAGGAGTGTTGTAGGAATCTAAGTGCCAATGAAAGAAAGTTCTTTGTGAACTGGAAACAATGGTACGTGGAGGAATGGCTGTTCTCTCTCCTTATAGCCTTTCCTTCCTTCTCACAGGCACTCAGGATTCCAGTTCAGCCATTTCCTTTATTGTGCCTTTCTCTCTCTGGGGTGTTAGCTGGTGGATGCTAAGGGAGCAGCCCCCAGTTGGGGGTTGTTGTAGTGGTTAGGTGCCATTGAATCAATTTTTGACTCAAATGTCTCATGACATTAATGCTGTGTGACATAGAGAACTGCCCCATGGAGTTTCTCTGGCTGTAATCTTTAAGGGAGCAGATAGCCAGGTCTTTCATCCATGGAGCTTCTAGGTGGGCTTGAACAACCAGCCTCTGGGTTAGCTTAACCATTGCACCACCAGAGCTCCTTAGTTGAAAGTTAAGTTTTGGGAAAAAAGAGATCTAGGGAGAGAGGTATTGGACACTGTCACCAAAGTTTTCCCAGATAAAGAGGATGGTCAAGAGAAGAGTTTTACTCCTTGGCAATGAGGGGCACCTCTCCTGCTTTCTCACTTCTATTGCTCCCCACTCTGGGGCCTAGGCAGGGGCTCTTAGGACAAGGCACAAGGCTGGGGGGTGGCATACTGCAGGCACACTGGGCAGCAGGCCAGGCTGGGGCTTCATTGGCCTGAGGCTGGGCTATGCCCCAACCTCATATCATTCTCCTCCTCTCCAGGTTCTCCATTTTTTTGTGGGCTTTGGTGCTCTGCTGAGCCCCCTGATTGCCGACCCCTTCCTCTCAGAAACTGACTGCTCTCCTGCTAACGGCACAGCCAACGCCACTTCCAGCAGCCACCTGTTCCATGCCCACCAGGTCCTGGGGCAACACCACTCCAAGGTCTTGCCTCGGTCCAACCAGACGCCTCCTGGGCTTCATCCCCAAGACTGGACGGGAACTCACGTGTCCTACGCCTTCTGGATCATGGCCCTGATCAATGTGAGTGCCACTGGGGCAGAGAGCTGGGAGAGAGTTAGTAGACAATACACCGCTACTTAACAGCTCCCAGTACAGAGTGTTCTGATTGTGAGACACGTGCTGGGGATAGTGGGGGCTGTCACAGAGGAGAGGGATGGTAGAACTGATGTCCCAGATTCAACTGAACACAAAAGGGGTTGGAGGAGATCTCTTTCAAGGTCATTTTTTTCCCCTAGATTTTATTTATTTATTTATTTGAACATTTCATTGTGCTTTAGGTGAAAGTTTACATAGCAAATTAGTTTTCCAGTCAATAATTCATTCACAAATTTTTCTGTGACATTAGTTGCAATCCCTGCAATGTGTCAGCACTCTCTCCTTTTCCTGCCTGGGCTCCCAGTTTCCATTTGTCCAATTTCCCTGACCTTGCCTACCTTTTCATCTTTGGTTTTGGGCAAGTGTTGCCCTTTTGGTCTGTATAGTTGATTGTTCCAAGGAGCACATTCTTCCTGGGTGTTATTGTTTATTTTATAGCCCCATTTATTAATTGGCTGAAAAGTAGCCTCTGGGAGTGTCTTCAGTTTCAAGTTAGAAGGTTGTGTAAGGGTGATAGTCTCAGAAGTTCCTCCAGTCTCTTTCAGATCAGTAAGTCGGGTTGGTTGTTTTTTTTTTTTAATTTGAATTTTGTTCTACATTTTTGAGCCATTCTACCTGGGACCTTTTGTTATGGTTCTGGTCAGAATGGTCAGTAGTAGCCTCCAGGCACCAGACTTGGATGTAGAACATTATCTTTATGAACTGTGCTTTACCAGTTGACCTAGCTGTCCCCTGAGACTATAGTCCTTAGTCTTCAAGTCCAGTAGTTCAGTCCTGATGTCTAAGTAGTTTCTATAACTCTTCCCATGTGCTCTATTACATATATGAGTATAAATTACAGCATTTACAAATTTGTAGGTAGAAATATGGACAACTATACCTATATATAGGAGCTCTGGTAGCATAGTGGCTAAAGCACTTGACTGCTAACCAGAGGGCTGGCGGTTTAAACCCACCAGCCACTCCTCGGAAGGAAGGTTGGGCAATCCTACTTCCGTAGTGATACTGCCTCGGAAACCCAAGGAGGGGTCGCTATGAGTCGGGGCCGACTCAACGGCACATAACAACAACACAACAACAACAACAATACCTATATATATGGAGCTCTAGTGGCATAGTGCCTAAGGTATAGGACTGCTAACCAGAAGGTTGGTGGTTCAAACCCACCAGCTGCTCCATGGAAGGAAGATGGGCAATCTACTTCCATAAAGATTTACTGTGTTGGAAACCCAACAGGGGTCCTTATGAATCAGAATCGACTTGATGGCAGTGGGTTTTAAATATGTACACAGATATACTCCTGAACAGCTTCCCTCACCTATTTAGCATACTTATTTACTTTGCAGGTAAATAAGTTATAGCATTTATCATAACTTAAAACCAAACTCACTGCCATGGCATCAATTCTGACTCATAGTGACCCCATAGGACAGAGTAGAACTGCCCCACAGGTTTTACAAGGCTACAAATCTTTATGGAAACAGACTACCTCATCTTTCTCCTATGGAACAGCTGGTGGTTTCAAACTGCTGACCTTTGGGTTAGCAGCTGAACGCTTTAACCACTGCACTACCAGATCTCCTTGAGTTGTCCTTTATTCTTGCGAATCTCTAAGTATCTTCCTCTGCCTTGGTCACGTTGTGCTGATTTTCCCCACATTGTGTATTGCCTTTCCCTTCACCATAATTAACACTTGTGTACTATAGATCTTATTTATTTTGTTGTTTTTGTTAAGAATGTTGTTGTTGTTGTTATGTGCCGTCCGTCGAGTCGGCCCCAACTCATAGAGACCCCTCCTTGGGTTTCCGAGGCAGTATCACTACGGAAGTAGGATTGCCCAACCTTCCTTCCGAGAGTGGCTGGTGGGTTTGAACCACCAGCCGTCTGGTTAGCAGGCAAGTGTCTTAGCCACTATGCTACCA